AAAAAAAATAACCACCAAAGCATCGGAACAAACTTGAGCCATAAATGGATTCAGCCCAAAGACAGTATTTAAAAATAGAAGCTAATATCCTAAATCTTTTTCCACCTACACCAGAATCTTTCCTAAATTGCACAGTCCCATAGCGGTCAAAGGTTTCTGCATTCGTTTAGCAACAGTAGGAGAATTTTATGTGGCATTCTAATTTAACAGCTGTAATGGAGCAAATTTTGATGCAAGCAAAGTATAACTAAGTTGATGATATTTCAACTGTTTGGCGATACATTTCCGTTAAAAAAAAGTGGGTATAATGGATGAAATAATTTAAATTAAGAAAATTAGTAAATAATTTAAATTAGTGAAATTAAAAAAATTATCAAAGAAAAATTTCCAGCTCTTCTTTAAAATTCCCTGATTTTTCCAGGTTTTTATCCAAATTTCCCTGATATTTCCAGGTTTTTTCCAGTATAAAAAAATTCCCTGATAATTCCAGGTGGGTGGCCACCCTGTTCTTTTTCTTCCTAAGAAAAATGTAAATAAAATATTTACTTTTATTACCCATTGGCAAAAATGGGTGTTGTTTTAGGTTTGATGTTGTGCACCCCTTATTTGGAGGTCGTCACTCTTCAAGTGTAATAGTTGAACAGTGTGCATGTGTTGCTGTGGCACAGCTACTGTTTGATAATTTTTTAGAATTCTTTTTTTTTTCACTTATTTAATTTTGTTATGCAGTTGGCGAGTTTATTTTTGAGATATGGGACCAGAGATCCCATAAATACTTCTTGAGTTGTAAAAAGAAGAGAATTTCATCATTTGAATACTTTTGTTTTTATGAAGAATCGGAAATTCTAACCTACAGTTCAAACTGGATAGTTTTCAATATTAATTCAGGTGAATATCACAAATAAAGGTTAAAAAAAAATTAGACAACCATTTTGCCATTGGGTAAAAAATCGCCTTTCAGCGAGCACAATTTTTATTATTTTTTTCCCTTTTCATAAGATGTTATGTGAATCTAGTAGTCTGTTTTGACACGTAATTTCACGGTTTTATTATTATTACTTTTGATGTCAGTTATTAAGAATTTTTTCAGTCCTTTCTATGTAGTTTTTCAAATTGGGCTGTTTTTTATGCAATGTTTTCAGAATTTCAAATTGATTCACCTTAAATTTTCTTGGTTCTATCAGTCAAATGAAGTTCTGCTAGTTTTTTTTTCTCCCACAGTCTTTTAAATCTCCATATTTTAATTATTACGATGTTGATTATGTGACATATATTTCAGTAACAACTATCTGTTAATGATTTATTCGAAAATCGTTCTTGGACCTATTTGATTTCGTGATTTCTTAGTTTTATTTCTAGTGTTTACCTTAGGCAATTTTTTCCACCCTTTCCTTATGGTTTTTTAATACTATGTTATTACAGTACAGAACCCGTTATCCGGAAATCAAAATTCCAAAAATTTTCCCGCCATTTTTTTTCCTCATAGGATTTTTTCGTTTTTGAAATAATCACTAGTGTATTACTTCGTTTTCTTTATAAGAGTTCCAAATGTTTTTTTTTTTTTAGTCTGGTTTAACAATAAATAAAAAAAAAACGTTTTTTTGTAGCGATTTAGAAAAATCAGTTATGCAGAATAGCGATGGTCCCAATTAATCGGTTCCATACTGTACTTGCCTTATTCCTTAAAGTTAACTTTTTTTACACACTCGATTCAGGACGATTACATTGTAAAGTAATGTTTTTCGACAGTTTTTGCATTCATTTAATTTCATATTAATACGGTGTTATATTTTTGATTAATTCGATGTTGTAGCGACAATTGTTCATGATTTATTAAAAAATCACTTTTAACGGCTCTATCGTGATTCCACTTTTTTTTTTACCAGAGAGTTTTTTCAACCATTTTTATTTTTTTAAACAATGTTATTAGTTGGGAAAAATTAGAAAGTATTCTATATGTAATTTAAAAAAATTAAATAGCAGTAAACAGCTACAACTATAAATGTTTCTAAACCAATTTTTTAAAGCTATTAGGATGTTGCATGAATATTAATACTGTTTTTATTAAGTCACTATCACTTTTTTCACTATGACCTGCACTGAGCCCTACATAACCTAATGCAAAACTGCAATATAATATGCACTAAGAGGCAGATTATAAGCAACTAATTTTTATGTCTACAACTTTTGCAATGATTATCAGTTCTTCAGTCTGTTTCTGCTAAGGATACAAAATTGTGATTACTTCACATTTCTACTAGTAATTATGGATAAAAATGGTTTGTGATTATATACAGCATTTGGATTATAGTGTGTTAAAGCTTTATAATTTACTTAGCAGGGAAATTAAGCTCAGTGAACCATGTGATTATACTGGAAAAAAAGTTATAGTAAATGAAACATATCAAGCTAGTTTATGGAAAGGAAACTATGTTCCAATAAAAGATTGTAAGACATAAAAAAATATTCCATAACCATTAAAAACTTTTATTTTGGCTACATAATGTACAAAATAGAGATGGAGATGTATCAGATTTATTGTAAGTTGTATTTAGAAGATAATATCAAAATGTCTAAAAGAGGAAAAAAAAACTTTTTTCCACGTGTGGTAAATTTGATTATTCAGTTAACTATGAAAATGATCCAGATAAAAATGAAATTTAGAAAAGATATTGTAAAAAAACTTATGTAATTTTGCAAAAAATGAAAATAAAATATTAAATAGAAATATGCATGTGCCAGGCTAAAATAAATAATGCACTTATTGTAATTTTTTTCTTTAAAGTAAGAAAGAGATACTATTAGATGTTTGCTTTCAATCAAATAACTAAGTTAATTTGAAAACTTGTTGCTTAGGTTTTATCTAAACAAAAGAATTAGTTTTTTCAAATATACATCTTACATACAATTTAATGTAAAATTTTAACAAACAAGAAAATAGTTAATAAATTACAGGGAAAATAAAAAACTTAAGAGCCATAAGTAGTAGCGTTGAAACACATAAATGATACTTCAGGGAAAATTTTGACAGAAATCCCCTGGATCCCTTTCTTTTAGTAATATTATAGTTTTCAAAAAAATTTAATTTATTTAATAAGAAAAAATTATTTGTCCCAACATCAACTAACAATTAAAAATATTTTTTTAACACTAACATGCATTCTAATGACAGTTGTGAAGAACTATTGGACAAAAATTCTTGTTTTTCACAGAAATCAGGTTATTAAAATTTTCAACACGATTTGTAGAAAATAATTTGTTAGCAATTGGATAACTGAGTATCAACAACTGACAGTTGTAACTTGACGTATCATAACTGACGATTAACAACTATTAATTATGAGGTTCTTGATCTATAACTAACTATTACATTGATTATATATTTTAAAAACAAATTCATTAATGAAACATACAGTACATTATACACATTTTAAAACAGCTATTTTAAAAATTTAGAAAAAATTATTACTCTTACTTTGTAAAAGATTAAATCTAAACCTTTTTATTCAACTTTAAACAATAAAAAGATAATGTGCATCTTACCCCCGTATTCACCATTGACTCTGACCTAACGCGTAACTCCCAGTTCCAAAACCCCCGGTTTGGAAACTTTGACCGAGAGTTCAAAAGCGATTCCACCATTCTTTTTTGACCGTTGGTTTCTTAACTGCGGGTTACTTGACCGGCAGTTACAGGCGGTAGGGTAGATTGCATCGCGGCGGTAGATTTATAGCCGTATTAACAGCGTTTGTTTTCAATTTTCGTTGCTATTTTTTAAAAAAAATTTCTAATAAAAGAAGAAGAAAAAATTATTGCATCGAGTAATTAAATTTGAATCTCTCTGTTACTGGTCAAATAAAAAATATGTTTAGTTTTGTTTTCCTAACTGACTTGTATTGATGAGCAAAAGGATCCGAGCTTTATTATTATGAATTTAGATATTTTATTATTATGGATATCATAAAGCCGCAAGCAACCATAGAAATGTAACTGCAATTCAATTAAAAATACTTTTATTTCACACAATTATTTAATACTTTTATTTTACACTATGATCAAGGGGATTATGCTAACATCATTATCATCAGGGACTGATTTACAGGAGGGCATTCGGGGCACGTGCCCGGGGCCCCCAACATTTGAGGGGCCCCCTTTCCCAATAAATGATCTTTTACATTACATGGCCAATACAAAACCTTGTGTAGAAGATCCCTTTGAAAGAAATTTTCGAATGTTGATGATTACTTTTATCAGACTTCAATTACTTTTATCAGATTTCGGTACAAATATCTTGTTTCCTTCATAATTTTTAACATTCTAGCCAAAACCTCTAGATATATTTATTAAATTTTTGTATTTTTTTTAGCAATTTCACTAAATTAAATTCTGAATATCTGGGGGACGTACTTCTAAATAAGGTTTCATGTTACTTGCAATTTTTTTGGTCTGAAAAATACTTTTTCAATATTAAGTTTAAGACCTTGAATGTTAACTAAAATTTATCGGCTCTTTAACTGGGGCCCCCAAATTCATCTGTGCCCGGGGCCCCCAAATCTGTAAGTCGGTCCCTGATTATCATCCTTATTCTCGTATTTTTAATCTTTTTTTTTCTTCCCCTTCATAACATATTATCAATAATTTAAACCATTGAGAAGAATTTTTTTTAAAAATTTTTAAATGAAATTGTATATAATAAACTTCTTAGTACAGATTAGCATAAATCAACACATTCATATTATTCAGAAGTTATAAGTGACTACTATTGTGCTGCCATCTGCTGATGATAAGAGAGAATCGACGTCGGTGATATGGTGAATAAGACAACAATTTTTTTAAAAGAAAATGTAATAATCGGAACAAATATTCCAAAACTTTAAAATTTAAAAAAAATTATGCCTTTAAAAATTTAATTATTTGGATAATTGTACATGGAAATATATCAGTTGTATAAACGCCCCACATGTCATAAAGTAGTCAGGCTATATATTAAAAATTATAACTAAAGACAGGCATTTTAATTTCACATGGTTTTAAGCAATAAATCTCTTCCAAATGATCCTATTTTTTCGAAATATTCAGCAGATTATTTTATGCTTATAAAATTCTAAATTTCCTGATTTGCAAAGTTATTTGATGCAAATTATTGTGTAGTTAAAATGTTTCCTCTGATCAAAATTTGCATTGATTAAGTAATATTTATTTCAGCATAATTTCTAATATATATTTAAAATAATGTATATGCTTTTAAATTTAATTAATAGCTTTATTTTATGGATTAAAAAAATTTTAAATTCTTTTCGTTATCTTCATATCTAAATATTGCGCATTATTTTGGAAGTTCAACTCTAAACTATTTTAATTTTTGGGCAAGATCTATCATCTCGATAAATATTATCGAAATCTAAAAACATTTAATGCATTATATTCTTTTTTAAATTTTATATTTCTTTCAAGTATCGATTGTTTTCTTTCTCTTAAAAAAATAAATAAAAGTTAGTTAAATTATTTACAATCTTCTTACTTACACTATTCATTTGAATTATTGTAGAAGCAATCTTTATTATCCACGACTTTTTTTTTCGAGTGAAAAATTATTTAAGTGCTGTAACGACTGCTAATAATGATTTGAGAAATATATATAGTATCTTCTAGTGAAGATATTAACTCAAGAAAATTTAATTTTCATTTTATTAATAAGCATTTATTTGATATAAATTAATTATAGTTACATCTAGTTAAAAAAATTATCTTATTAAACATAAAAAAAGCAACCGAACATCAAAATAAAGTGTTATTTAATTTTCTTTTTATTAATATATTTTCATTTTATTAATATTATGGTATGCTAATTTTTTTGAAGGCAAAGCAAAGATATAAATTAATTATCGTTGCATCAAGTGAAAAAATTGACCTCATTGAACATAAGCAANTTGTTTATCTTCATTATTATTTTGTTAATCGAATAAACCCTTTCCAGGGCGGAAAACAAGAAAGATGGATGTAAACGAATTAAGTTTTGTCTTCGGTAGACAATTCTTCCATTATTCGTCCGAAATTAATATTCTGCATTCCGCAGTATAGGCTAAATACCAAATATTTGTATGTTGCGTCTCTAATTTAGAAGCAGCAATTGTTGTTAAATTTTTAAAATTTAATTTTTTTAATTATAATTTTACAGTGTTGAGCATAATCTTGTGTGTCTTTACAATTTAAAAACTCCTTGAAAAAGTTTTTTTTTTACAATAACGGACCCTATTTGCACAAATTCATAAAAGCGGACCCTGGTTGAAAGGATGTGAGTAATTTTTTCCCAATTTCACGAAAAACGGACCTTTCACAAAATGTCTGGACAGACCCCTGATAACTAACTATTACATCGATTATATATTTTAAATTCATTAATGAAACATACAGTACATTATACACATTTTAAAACAGCTATTTTAAAAATTTAGAAAAATTATTACTCTTACTTTGTAAAAGATTAAATCTAAACCTTTTTATTCAACTTTAAACAATAAAAAGATAATGCGCATCTTAATTGCACAACATTTAAAAATTGTCCATAACATTTTTCGAGTGTCATTGCAATTGGTTGCAAACACAACTAAAATAAATCAATTATAACCTAAAAAAATATTTAACTAAGGGCGCCTTCTTTTCATAGGTGAACTTTTCTTCTTTTTCTTATCAATTGAATCTCCTTTAATAGCAGGTGAAGATTTTCTTGAACCTTCAAAAGAAAAAAATTTTAATAAGATAATAAAATATTTCTAAATCAAAAGCATTTTACATTTAGCAATCAAAACTTTAATGAAATGTTACTGAATAAATGTATCAATTCTACTTTTTTTTTAAAAATAAATATTGAAAAAGAATTAAAATACTTAATATTTCTAACTAAATCATTTAATTACTACAAACTAATCCCTGATTAAGTAAAACATAGCTAGTTTTATTGAAACTCCAAGCACTCACGAATTATAAAGTCGGAGGCAATAATTCATAAATCAAATAAGTAAATTCATCAATTTAGTTTTTAAATAATTATTAAAAAAGAACATAATTAAAATGCTTAAATTATTCAATTAATTCATACAAATGACTAATTGAATTAAACTAGCTAGTTTTATTTAAGCTCAAATCTCTAGCCAAATAGTCAAAGGCTTATTAAATTAATCAATTTATGAGTAAATGTATCAATTTAACAGCAAATTATTTTACATACAGCTGATAAAAAATTATTCTTCTTAGGTTTCACAATATTTTTTCTTTAGATTTTTCTATTTTTTATATTTAATAATAACTATTTTTTATATTTAATAATAACAATAAAAAAAAAACTTAAGTCACTGATCCTTAGGAACAGTCACTACATTATTAGCCTGAACTAATTATTAGATTATTTTAAAGAAAAGTTAATAAATTGAAATTAAATTACTATGAAATGTCAAAATTATGAATGATGAAATCTTTTATTTTGTGGAGGTGGGGGAACCAAAACAGCACACCTTCCTTTCACATAAATTACTAGTCGAGCTACATTGAAAATGATTTAATGACGATCCAAGTCAAATTTTAGTGGTCTTGGACCACCATTAATTACAAAAATCCTCATATATCCTTCTTTCCTTATTCTCTAGAAATAACTTTATTGATAGATAATCTAAGAAAGACAAACAAACAAAACGGAACCTTAAGAAACAAACCAAAATTAATGATATTAATAACCCTGTTAATTATATATTATTTGTAATATTTTCTGTATCAAATAAGCACAAATTTAAATTTAGAAATATGGCAACAGGGGTGTATTTGCAGAAAATGTGATTTCTTACAAATTTCACTAATTACTATGATTAAGATATTGCACAAATGTGCATGTTACTTTCAATTAGGATCAAAATAGACTTTACACTTTTGCGATAACAGTTTTACCTTATTGATTATGCTGGTTGCCAACATATATTATTTTTGCAGCCCACTTATCAAAACTAAGTTGTGCATCACTGGCATACTTAATTTAGAGTTTCCACATCTAAAATTAAATTTGGGTCAAAATCAATATATATATATATACCTGAAAGAACAGACGAGTCAGAATCTTCATGCCTGCTCCCTTTACTAGAAACACTTGATGCTCGATCACTTTTACTCTTGGTACTTGGAATGTCACTAACTCTTCTTGAAGAATCCTGATCACTTTTCCTACTCTCTGTTTTGGAACTTTTTTTACTTTGAGAACTATCGCTAGGAGTAGAGACTTTACTTTTCTTAACTGAAGAGTCTTTTTCACTCTTTATCTTCTTTGAAGAACTGCTAGGAGTATCGGTTTTATTTGGCTTAGTTACAGTACTTTGTTCTTGCTTAGCTGATTTTTTTGAAGCACTGTTGCTCTCAGGTTTTGGAGTTTTCTTTGAAGTTATAGGGGTACTGGTTTCTGTTTTCAACTTTTTAGCTGGAGGCTCAGGAGTTTCTTCCTTAACAGAAGTTTGATCACTTTTTGAATTTTTCGCTGTAAAAGGGCTTGAAGAACGCTTCACTTTATTCAGCTTAGTTGTTAAAGGAGATTCTTGTCTAGTTTTACTTTCAGAAATACTAGAAGGTTTTGTCTCACTTTTTTTCAAATATTGTTTTGTACTTTTACCACTAACAGGCGTAGCAAATGTACTTTTAGAATTCGACGAAGGTGTGCCGTTTTGTTTTGATTTTGTAGCATTCGATTTCTTTGATGCTTTGTAGTTATGTTCACTCTTAGAGTCTCGACTGTCATCATCAACATCACTCAATGAGACATTTAATTGCTCTTTAGCTAAATCATAGAAGCTAGATGGCAGGTCATAATCTACTTCTTCGTTTGGAAATGGTAAAATTTCAGATTCATGCTAAAAAATAATTAACATTTATGATAAAATATTTAATGCTACAAAAAGGACTAACAAAAGAAATTAAGTTAGAAATAATGACAACAACAAAAAATTTCAGCAATATAAAAATTTTAAATAAAAGTTATCTTCTGTTGGAAAATAAAAGAATTCCAGTATAATGGCATTCACCATTTATTTGGACCCAAATATTCAAATTTTACCAATAGTAATGTTTATTAATCTACTTTTTTAAAAAAATATATATATATATAAATTTAATATTTTGGGACTATTTAGAATTTAAAATCATTTTTACAACCATTTAATCTATGTATTTTAGCCAAACAGAGTTAAAATTCTTTTATTTTGAAATTCCTTTGTACTATATTTCCCTAAATTTACAGGTAGAAGAATCATTTTGCTTCTTAGTTGAAAAAACTATTTATACAAAACAGCATTTAATTCTAAATCATTAACTAATTATATTCTTTTTCTGAAATTTATTTCATTTATATATATATTTCTCTAATATGGCTTACTCCAAATTTTATTTTTTTCACGACCTATTTTTCTCTGTACATTTTTCTGCAGCAAAAAAGAAAACCATGATGAACAAAACTAAACCAATAATAATAAACTATACCAGTAATAAGGGTAAAACAACTAAAACAAAACTTCCAAGATTTCTTTAACAAAACCAATACAGCTAATTAGCAAACTGTTTATTAATTACTCATATGAAAATAAATTCTGTGTAGTCTGTGTCAAAAAGTTTTTTTTAAGGCATCGTGTATAGATGGAAAAAAAACTCGCAAAATAAACCTAAGATAACCAAGATATTGCTACTGCATCGTTTTGTCTTTCATTAAAGCAGTCAGAAATTTTGTTGCACTTAATTTATCAAATTAAACAAAATTCTCTCAATTTTCTGAATATTAAAAAACACTTTTTTCAAATTCCTGAACAGTGAAAATTTCAAGGATTTCAGTGTCCTGTATAGGTTAAGATTTATCAGTCATTTAAGCTTCTAGCTATAATACCACCTTTCCTACATAAATATAGAATTATGACTTTTTGAAACATAACTTTTTTTCAAACGATAAAATTAAAAATATTAAAAAAAGTCAGAAGAACATAAGTCTAAAAGGAATGTGGAAAATACATACACCTAAAAACAGATATATTTTAAATGAAAACTAAAGTGGAAACAATTTTATTAACCTTTTATTAGCATCTTAGTTTATAAGCTTAGTTTCTTTAAGTTAAATATGCATAAATTGAAATGAGCACAGGTTTTTACAAAAGCATCAAATTAAAAAAAAAATATTAAAATTGCACTTACCAAAGCAGCCATGTCATAAAGAGAATCTAAATGATTCCAGATTACCTTCGAAGAAATTTCTCTCTCAAGAACTGTGCTAAATTTTCTATGAATGCATACCATCATAAAGTGACGATTCACACCTTAAATTTAAAGAAATAGAAAAATGCAATAGAAAAATTGAAATTTTTAATAATTTATTTTCAACCCATAAGCAGAATATTTTCTAATGTTCTGCAACAGGACTTATTTATACAAATGTTCTGCAAGCATTTATTAACAGCGAAAAAAAGTCAACTTTACGTTAAAATACTATATTCTCATTTATTGAAATACAGGATCATACACAGATACACTATATTACTTTTTAAACCAAGGCAAACATTCTTGATTTATAACTTTTTCAGTCACTTTTGAAGTACAAATTTTTGTAATGATGATGATGAATTATTAATAAAATGCCTATGATATGAAGGTCCGAACATTAAAATAAGGGCTGCCTTAAAAATCTTTCGAAGGGACAAGTGCCCAGATGGTGCACCATTTACAAACACAAACATTCGCTGGTCTGCTGTTACAACTTCTTCGTCTTCATCGAAAGCATTTGGTCTTTTAGAAACAACTGCAAGATTATGAGGGGAAGCTTCTAAACCTTCAGGTCATTATGGTCTACAGAAGAATGTATGAGATTAGGGTTGGGGATTGTTCTGCAAGACTACTGGAAGCGAGAGTTCGCAGAAAAACACTGTCACTTATTCAAGATACAGATTGTTCTGCAGGACTTCGTTTGTTCTGCGATGTACGTCACAGTTTTAGGCACTTTCTGCTTCTGGGATTTTCAATAAATAAAAAACTTGAAAGGAAAGGTGCTCAGAGAGAAAAACATGAGCTTTAGAAAAATAAATAAAGACCAAGAGAGAAAAATGGCTTTTGTACGAGGAGATTGATACTCAGAAAAACAAATTTTCAAGGTTTGAGAATTTTTAGGAGCAAGTATTTAATTGAAATCGTGAAAATAAAAGTATACACAAATGTCACAAGCATATATTTCGATCCACTAGAAATTTCAAAACAACTTGGTACAACTTGCCCTAAGTCTAAATTTTTGAAACATAACAAAACATTTTAATTTTTGACTACTCAAAAGGTGGATCTTAGAAGAGCTCCTTTCCACGGCAATGTTTATAAATTTTGCCAAGCAAGTTTATGAAATCTCACCAAACTAGGTTTCCGGAAGATATTTCGAGGAGATTATTTTAAACATTTGATCACATCACCAATATTCTTAAACCTGATTGGTTATTTGATATGTATACCTACGCAAAAGTTGGATTTTGTTACAGAAGAGATAAAAGGGATTATTTTTTCGTTAATTATGCTTCTTATGCTGTTAGAATTAGAATAATCGTTATATCATTTTTAACCATTATTTCATTTTTTAATTTTTTTCTGTTCGGAACTGGCTGAAAATGGTCAGTGATTTTTTAACTATATTGAATGAAAAAGGTAAGAGAGCGATTATTGAATGGTATATGAATCAAAATTTAATTTCGAAAACGAATTAATGTCCTAAATGTGAAGAACAAATAAGTTTGATTGAACGAAAGAATACGGTGAATGGTTTTGAATGGAGAAAGCGTGGATTGAGTGTGGGGGGATATTTCCATATCGCGATCTATGGCAGAATAATTACCACGTCTGGGCATCTTCCGGCAGCGGCCCACAAGAAACTAAAATAAAACATCACAGAAAGGAACCAACTTGAAAGGTATAACTCGGGCCACCCCCAGGCAAATATCAACAGGTTTTTTTTCTTTTTTTAAAAATTGCAAGTTTAAAATCTATTTGGCACCTCAGCAATTGCAGTTGAAATGACAGATCAGGATACGGAAGTATCCCTGAATGTGGTTTCACATGATGTTTATCAGAGTGTTAGGAGAGGTATACCCCTCTGGTGACAAAAGATAAACCATCAGAATGAAGGTAAGGAATTTTTAATACAATTAAAAAATATTTTAATAAATTTGTAATAATTTAAGTCTTTTTTTTTTTTTTTTAATAATCAAAAAGCAACAGTGATCCCAGTAATAATCGCCAACTTGGCGAGATTTAAAAAAGTCGCCAAGATGTGGGCTTTTCCAGGATTTTACCCAAATTAACAATAAAAAAAAGAATGATATTGATGCACTCTGTATGGTGAATTCAGTGCATAAAATATGAACTTATCATATGCAATATTCATTTATACTTTTGTAACTTTCCTTTAATAATAAATAACCTTTACAGTTTTGCATTTCCTTGTTATTTCCACATATACCAAGCAATAGTTATTAGATGCATACTATGCAAGCCAGCATCAGCAAAAACTTATAATGGAGGAGGAACCGCAAATTAACAAAATGGACAGCCATGTCTGATTTTTCGAAAAATGTAAATAAGTATTTTGATATAAAATTGAACTCAAACAAAAAGCAATTCTTCTCACCAACAGGTTTCAAACCACGCATTGCATAAAATAATCTTCGTTCTACTTTACAATCCCAGTCTATTTTATCTTCGGAAAGCAATTCTTCGTTTTCTTTTTCGTTCACCGCGTTTGGTTCCATAGTATTGCTCTTTAGATGGACACCTGAGTTATTTGTATTTGCGTCTAACATGTATATTTGTAGAATTCCAATTAATCAACATAAAAATTCGAATTTTCTTTTAAGACTTGTTATATCTATAATAAAAGAATTCATTGCACTTTTCGAAATAGATGGTTGACTGTGTAAAGCTAAACGCAGATGGCGCTGAGGGTCAAAATTCGCCATCGGTCTTCCGGTTTACTACTTCCAACTGAATTTTACACCTAAGCTTGAAAAAAGGCACTATTCGTGTTTAAAAACTAAATTTAATAACATTTCTTGAAAACCAAAAGTTTAGTTTGCAGCTTATCATAACAATTTAAGCCACATAAGTAACTGGGTGAAAAAAAAATTTCCTAATTTTTATGGTGGTAAATCAGCAAATATTTTTACTTATCAACCGAAAGACGGACAGAAATAGAAAACCAAACACGCATTATGAACGAAATTATACTGGCAGTGTTTACCTAATTATGAAACATTCATCGTTAAAAAATAACTAACATAATAGATTTTTTGAGTTATTAAAGAGAATCTTCATTTAAAATAGATTTTAAACTTGCAAATTAATTTAAAAATAAACATTTAGAGGTTTGCCCGGAGTGGCTACGAGGTATACCCTTCGAGTTCTTCTGTGATTAATTTTTAGTTTCCTAGCTATTATTTTAAAGTAGATTGCGATACCGGAATATTCCCTATAATTAAATTCTTATTCTTTAAACTCGTTAGATTCATGATATGTTTTTATTAAATTATTTTAACTAAGCAAACTTTAAACCAAGGTGATATTATATGCAATATGAGTCTTCCAACAAATACTGACTTTACTAATTTTAATATTGTTGAAATCGATGAGAATCTTTATTCTTGTAAAATATGCAATCGAAATTTGTCCAGAGAAGAATATTTTGCTACTCACAATCGAACTCATACTGGTGAAAAACCTTATTTTTGTTGTATGTGTAATAAGAGATTTTCAAGGAAAAGTAAACTAACTGCTCATAGTGTAGTTCATACTGGTGATAAACCTTATACTTGTAGTGTATGTCTGAAGAGCTTTTCTTGGCAGAAAACTCTAATTGCTCACCGTCATAGTCATACAGATAAACCTTATTATTGTAGCCTTTGTAATGAAAGCTTTTCAGAGAAACATGCATTAACTCAACACAAAATGGTTCATGCTTGCAAAAACCGCTGCAGCGTATGTAATAAAAAATTTTCCTCAAAAAGTAATCTAACTGCTCATAGTGTGGTTCATACTAGTGAGAAACCTTTTACTTGTAGTATATGTAAAAAAAGTTTTTCTCGGCTGGCAACTCTAAAATATCATTTTCTTGTTCACACTGGGGAAAAACCTCATTCTTGTAGCATATGTAATAAGAAATTTTCTTTAAAAGCAGCTCTAACTGACCACTTTCGTGTTCACACAGGTGAGAAACCTTATTCTTGTAGTATATGTGATAAGAGTTTCTCAACTAAAGTTCTTCTATGTGGTCACAGTAAAGTACATACTAGTGAAAAACCGTATTCTTGTACTAGATGTAATAAGGTATTTTCTCGTAAGTATAATCTAACTCGCCACTTTCTTCTTCACAGTGAATGATATTCTTGCAGTACATGTGATAAAAATTTATCTTCTAAAAATAAAACTGGAGATTGTCAAACTCATATTTGTACTCATACCCCCTTTTTTATTTTTTATCTTGCTAAAAAGTTAACCATATAATTTTAATTTTTAAGATAAATCACTCATTTTCTCTTATAAAAAAAACTTTGAAGAGTGGACCAATAAGACCAGAGTATGATGGTCCAACACATTGGACCACCTAACCAAAATGTATTCAGAAACAATATTGTTAGATAAATATTATTTCATGCAGTAATTGTATTATATTCTTTAGCATCTAAGATTAAAAACCATTTCTAAAGATTAGAAAAATATATATGTCTTAAAATGTTCAAATAAAAATTAATAATTCTTTTTGTACCTACACCTCACAATTATCAAATTTTATTAATAAAATTTTTTACACCTTGCTTAATAATAAAAAAGTTACTTAATTTCAAGATGAATTTAAAGTGCTTTTTTAAGTAATTTTTATGAAATATTTGTCAATTTTTTTATGAATTTAAATAATTGATTTTTAATTTTAAAAAAACTGATTTTTAATTTTAAAAAAAGCATGTAAGATGAAATACTTATCTTAATCACTAATTTATTTTTATTTTATAACCGTTGTTGAACAGCCGACCCAATTTTGGGTTTACAACTACTAATGTTTAGCTCCGTAGCCTTGTAATTTTGAACCCAATACAGATGACAAGGAATCTCCAGGATCAGAACCCCTCGAGGTATGTTTTGCTATGGGAACATGGAGGACTTTGTGACTTGACAGATTTAACGTGCATTAATCACCATTTACTACACGGGGAGACTTCGGCCAGCAAGTATTGAACCCACGACCTCTTGGACATGGGCTCAGTGCCCTATCAATCAGGCTATCCCGGCCCTTTTAATCACTGAAAAGAACTTGACGAATCTACATTCATAAACTAATCACGAAAAAAGGTAACAAATATTCATCATACGTTTATCACCATGCCAATCAGCCAAACATGTGATGGACGCCGCCAAAAGACGTATTTTTATGTTTACATCTAGTCTAGAGCCCCTGAATTAATCTAGTCTATGTTTCCAATGAACGGACTATAATAGTGCAACTTTTTAAATGGAAAAAACTAAGAGAAATGTTTAAAACCATTTAAATAATAGTTCGTAGATCCAGCCTACCTTGTCTCCTATAAAATAAAAGCAATCCAGCTTCCCATACTTTCGAGAAACCTTATACTTGTAATGTATGTACTAAGAGTTTTTTTCTGCTAACAGTTCTAGAATGTCATTTCCTTGTTCGCACTGGTGAGATACCTCATTCTTGCAGTAAATATGTTATCTGAGTTCATCAAAGAATGAATGATTGGAAAAAGTGCTGAATCTAAAATTGTTCTTTTAAATTTATTTCTATGTTAGTTATTTTAGTAATTGTGTAAATTTTTATTTTAGAGATTTTGTTATTTTATTAAACTGTGTTTTACAAATTCAGTTGTTGTCTTTTTTTGATATTTTTTTGGTTCTAGATATTTTATTTTTTAATTATGACTCTTGCAAGTTAAAAAAATCTATTTGAGTTGAAAAAAGTTTTTAAATTTCGAATCTTGGAAATATTGTCGTAATAGTTAGATCAGAAGAGCAGTCCTAAGTTTGGGCACCTTAAGGTCAATTTTAGTTTTGCGTACTTCGCTTTGTCTCGAGAACCTTTTAGCTGAAAATTTTTTGCAATCATAAAATCCGTTTATCCTAAGATAATCCCATGCAAAAATTATCTTTGAAAAAAAAAACATTTTATTTTATTTAATAATAATCACAAAAAAATTAGAATTGTAAGGTATAAAAATTTTTACACCATTTTAAAGAATTTAATTTCCTGTAATAGAGTACAAAACTTGAGAGAAATCGGTCAAATAGTTCCTGAAAAATCGAATTTTAAATATACGACATAAACTTTTTAGCTATTTGTATTTTGTCATATAAAATTATGTTCCATAAAATGATGTGGAACATTTTATGTCTTAATATTAATAAATAAATATTATAAATTGCGTTCAAAAACTTTTCTATTTTTGTAAAAAGTTGTCGAGATATGACGAAATGCGCAAAAAGTAAAATTAACAATAACTTTGAACCACTTTCCTAACCAAATTGTTGGGACCGTATTTCCCAGGTTGCAGCTACCCTCTATATTTTTAGGGTCAGATATCCACTGAGATAAATTTACAATTATTAGTAATAAATTACATTTTTGTGTCGTAACTTAAAATATCGTCTGCACAAATATAAAGTCTTGATAATCTGCCTCTATTTATTGTACGTTGTGGTAAAAATTGTGTATAAACTCGCCGTTTTGTGGCAGATGAGCAGTTTCTCATCCTACACAAGCTCATCGTTTCATTGCCTACTTACAGCACAAACCGCCCCCCCCCCTCAACCATTACAAATCAACTATCATCATTATTCGGGGCTCTTTCTTTTTACAGCTATGATAGGAATGCCGCGTAATTTTAACCCCGGTCGGCGCCTGAGCACGGTCCCTCTTTCCAAACTTCCACACACTACGACTTGATTTAACGTGCTGACCTCCCTAGAGCATATGCTCTCATTCATTCCATGTTCCAATTTTGCGTTTTAGAGATATTGTTCACGCTTTGCGAATAAAAATCGGACGAAAGCACATCACTTTGCAATTTCAAAAATAATATATACAGTATTCCAAAATGTGGCTGACAAATCAAATTCAAAGGGATGATAAAAGTCATTGAAAGGTTTCAAACCAAACCTCGTAGAGAAGACGAAAATCGCGAAAAACGCATGTTGGGTCTGAATCTAGAGACGATAAAGGAGGTCAATTGGCATCTTCGTCAGCAGGGACGGATCCAGAAATTTTTCCTGGGGAGGGGNTTTTTTTTTTAGTTGGGTTTAACAATAAAAAAACGGCTTTTTGTAGCGATTCAGAAAACCGGAAAAATCAGTTATCCGGAATATCGATGGTCCCGATCATTCCGGATAATCGGTTCCCTACTGTAATTATTAAATTAAAGATCTAATCTAGTGAAATAATTGCAATTTATTGCTCTATTCTTGAGAAACAAATTTTATAAAGTAAAGTATTAGAGTTAAAAACATAATTTAGCAGTGCTAAAATACAATTTGTTGAAATAAATGTGCCCCTTTTTAACTAGAGCATGTGATTCTTTCATAGCATTTAAAATACTATAGTGAGCTCACGGAAAAGATAGACTGAAAGTAAACAAATGGGTTGCCAGAATTTTGATGTTTGCCACTTTTGGGATTTTCTCTCTAATTTTTATCATGCTAAAAATGAATAAGAGAAGAGATTATTCAGTTTCCTATAAATGCCTGATTGATTCAGAATACAATAAGACTCTATTTTTTTAATAAACTAAATACAATTAAACATTAAAATTCTATTTTTAAATATTCAAACAGTTATAAAACACTTACTTGCAGACTGATTAACTTTATATTGTTGTGCTTGCTAATGAAACTCCTATAATATTAAAAAAATAAGAAAAATGGTATTGTAAAATTTACTCATAAATTTAACATTATCGATTGACTGATGTAGCAGCATATTAAAGGTGTAATAGAAGTATTCTTTGTAAATTTTAATATAATGAACAAAAACAAATTTTTTATGAATATAAATAATTGATTTTTAAAAACATATAAGATAAAATACTTATCTTAATCACTGATTTATTTTTATTTTATAACCGTTGTTGAACAGCCGACCCAATTTTGGGTTTACGACTACTAATGTTTAACTCCGTAGCCTTGTAATTTTGAACCCAATATAGAAGACAAGGAAACTCTTGGATCAGTACCCCCAGAGGCATGATTTGTTATGGGAACATGGAGAACTTTGTGACTTGACAGATTTAACGTGCATCAGTCACCATTTACTACACAGGGAGTCTTCGGCCAGCAATTATTGAACCCACGACCTCTTGGACTCGATTGATTGGCTCAGTGCCCTATCAATCAGGCTATCCCGGCCCCTTTAATCACTGAATGAACTTGACGAATCTACATTCATAAACTAATCACAAAAAAGGTAACAAATATTCGTCGTACGCTTATCACCATGCCAATCAGCCAAATATGTGATGGACGCCGACAAAAGACTTGTTTTTATATTTACATCTAGTCTATCTTTCCAATGAACGGACTATAATTGTGCAACTTTTTAAATGGAAAAAACCAAGAGAAATGTTTAAAACCATTAAAATAATTGTTCGTAGATCCAGCCTACCTTGTCTCCTATAAAATCAAAGTAATCCAGCTGCTCATACTGGCGAGAAACCTTATACTTGTACTGAGAGTTTTTTTTTCTAGAATGTCATTTCCTTGTTCGCATTGGAAAGATACCTCAATCTTGCAGTAAATATGTTATCTGAGTTCATCAAAGAAAAGTCATCCAAATGTGTAATCTTACGAAGAATGATTGGAATAAGTGCTAAATCAAAAATTGTTCTTTTAAATTTATTTCTATGTTAGTTATTTTAGTATTTGTGTAAATTTTTATTTTAGAGATTTTGTTATTTTATTAAACTGTTTTTTTACAAATTCAGTGATTTTTGTATTTTTTTTTTTTTTTTTGCTACAATATTGTATTTNTTTTTTTTTTTTTTTTTGGTTCTAGATACTTTCTTTTTTAATTATAGACTCTTGCAAGTTAAAAAAAATGTTTTAAATTTCGCCAGATTTAGATTCCTTCGACCCTCGAAATATCGGAGGTAGCCGCAATCTGGGAAAGTCCCGCAGTGGACTGATCATTTGGACACGGTTCCCAGCAGATCATCGAAGTCAAGCATCACTGGCCACGGTCAGTGTGCTGGTGGGTGACCACTTGGATCAGTCTGCGTAGGGACCGAGGGTGTGCGGTATTGGTCCTCGTTAAACTGTGCTACCGTAAAGTGCTCGACTTCGCGCGCAGGTCGTCGGGCTACCGAAGCGGGGGTGCCATC